TGAACGGCGCCATCCTGATCTTTCTCCTCATTCACCAGCATCTTCAAAACGGCACAATGTACTTCCACAAATAACTCACAGGTAACGTCGTGAGAAGAAAATTGCATTGCCTCGACGAAATCATCGAACGTGAAGGAGTCTAATTGGAGAACCTGGCAATATACATTCAATGTGTTCCACGTTTCGAGCAGAGGTCCCACAGATTCCATCTTGATATTGCCACGCAGTAAACTATCTTCTTGGGGCGACATGTCCAGGTGCTCTGAGTGTTGATCATCAGTTAAGAATTTCAAGGAAGGCCGGAGTTTATCGCTGTGAGAGGGCGGGATATCCAAATCCTCAATCGGGTATTTGATAGGTGGCGGGGGGGGTTGCGGCGGAGGGCCATTTTGGATGACAACGGAAAACGAGTTGGCGCTATCTTCGAGTGCTTGCCAATCTCCATCGTGAGTGCCATCCCCGGAAACAGCAAAAGAATGGTTTTCGTTTAACGCTCGTTGGTATTCCTCATATCGGTCATCCCTCGCCTTCGCAAGCTCCCGCAGTGAAACTTTCGATTTATGTCCCTTGCCAGCAGACTTGAGGTTCGGCCATCGTTGTTTGGAATAAAAGAATCCAAAGAGGCTTTCGTCTTCTTCTTTACCGGCAGCCACGTTAGCTTTCTTCCCTCCGACCCTATTTCCGTATTGCAGATGTTTCGGGACTTCAGTATCGATCCGGTATTCATGGGCGATATGCGGTTTGACCAGCCACGGCGCACCCGTCCACGATTCTCTTGTTACAGTATTCCTGATGAATGAACGCAGCATCTGTTTGGTAAAGATTTTCCTGTCACGGGCCAGGTGTTCATCGTCCAGCAGCGCCTCCTCATTTGGCCGGCTCACCAGTTTTACCAAGTATCTCGACGACGCTCTTCGCTCTATCGAACCATCTTGGTTCATTAATTCTGGGAATCGGGCCTTTTCCCGAACGATGCCCTGCAGGCGGGTTCCGTTGGTTAGGAGGACAGTAACGCGTTCGCCAGGGTAAAAGTCTTGTTTAAAATCCTTTCACAACTCGGTCAGTATAATATGAAGCTTTGACAAGAGAAGGAGATCGGAACAGGCATACTTCGAAGACCTGGTCGACTATTCAAAACACTGAGATTAGTTTCATGGATGGCTTGTGTAAAATAAATAAAATAAAATAAATGATGTCGTACCAAGGCTGTCAATTCGCGAAATAGTTGAAAATTGAACCTTTCGCAAGACCGGTTCCTTCAACGGCTCCGGAAAGGCGCTATTCACTTCGCGTGAACCATCCGTCTGCTGCACAGTTAGCACGATGAACCCTTCAATATCAAAAAAGCAATTGTAGTGCCAAAGTAAAATCAGCGGGCGACGCACTTCACTTCTTAGAGCCTCAAAAAAAGTAAGGGAGGAATGGCCGGTTATTTCGCAGATGAACCGTTTCTATATCCCCGGCATCGACTTGTTTAGCATATCCATTTCCGGTTGAAGCGTCCGGAGAGACAACTCATCAAGATGAAAGTTCTCCGGGAGACAGAGGAAACGCAAGCGAGGAGACTTATTCAGCCCGCAAGGGGGGGGGCGGGAAGGGTCCGTGTAGGTACCTGTTTGTAGAAGTTCATTCTGAACAGGGAGAAACAATCAGCAATTTGCGCCGCGCAAAAGCAATAACGAGAATAGGAAGCTAAAGAACTAAAGTCATATATATATTATGGCACGTACCGATGAAGGAACTGCTGATACTTGGTGAACACTTCATTTGTTTCGGGGATGACCCAGACCTTTATTTCTCGCAAAAACAAAGTTAGAATTTAGACAAAAGTCCGCTGGAGAAATATACATATATATATATATGAATGCGCAGGAGCGGAGGACATACCTCCTCACTATCATCTTCAATGGTTGGTCGCGGGAGGTACTGAACTGGTTTGCGCTTGAAGAGGACCTATAAGAACAAGAATTTGCCGTCCGTTCAGCATAATACATCCTCCGATATCCGGGAACGCGAAAAACCGAGTCGCAGGCGCGGCGCAGACCATACATACCATGTTGTTTGAGTCTGTATCCGCAGGAGGCCCGTCCGGGGGCCAGTGACCAAGAAAACGCAATAGGCCAACAGTCTGTCGGGTCCAGATAGTTCGGGGAAGCAGGTCTGGTCGCAGTCTTGGAGGAGCCTGGATCTAGATAGAGGAGGGAGTACAAGGTCAGTGATTCAAGTTGTTACTTTTCTTTTCTTTTCTTTTTTTTTTTTTTCTCTGGCGTTTATTTTTATTTTTATTCTCCAGTTTTTGGCCGGTGTTCCCGCAGATCTACTTTCTGGAAAAAAGTAGATCTGCCAAGAGAAGGAAACGGCCTATCTCTGGAGGAGGGCACAGGTACAAGGGAAAGCGAAATCAATTGTTGAGAGAGGGTTTTTGAAACACGCGTCTGGCGGGCTATATTATTTTTGCCCTGGCGGCTCTGGGCGGGCTAGGGAGGCCGGCATACCTTTTGCGACACATGGAACGCGTCTAGAACGCAGACTCGGGTAACTTATACAACAATAGCGAGCACAGGCGAGAGTCGGGGAACGGAGGACCGAGATAAGGGATGCGGTGGGTGGAGGTGGTGGAGGTGGAGGTTGGAGGTGAGGTTGGAGTTGGAGAGGAGGAGGAAGGGGAAGGGGAGCAGAAGTTTTCGGCGGCCATTGGCTGGGAGGGGGGAGTGTGGGAGTGTGGGTGTGTGGGTACATATGGGAGGAGGAATCAGCGGCAAGGAGCAGCACACCACGACTACTACGGCTGTTACTACATAGGTGCTGCTGCTGCTGCTGCTGCTGCTGCTTCTACTACTACTACGGCTACTATTCCTGCTGCTGCTGCTGCTGCTACATTTCCAGCACCGTAGTTCGAGGGCAGGCGGGCGTTGGTGCGGATTATTGGGGGAGGCCAAATGAGGAGGCGGACAGTGGCCAGGGCAGAGGGACAGGCACATGGGCCGTGCATCTGGCGGCGGAGGACGGGCTGGCGAAGGGGGAGAGATGAATTACAGGCAGAAAGAAGTTGGACCGTGGCTGAAGAAGTTGAAGTGTGTTGAAGGGAGAATTGCCATCGTCTTCTCTCTGGTGGCTTGGTGGTCCGTCCTCCTCGTCGACATGGCGGGAGGCGTTGCACTCCATATCCACGAACTGAGTATACAGAGTAGATCCATACATACCTCATGCCTCCAGACTGGATGCTCCATTTCCAATCTCTGTTCTTCCATGGACTGTCTCCTGTACCCCCTGCTACCGCCATGCTCCTGCCAGCGTCCAGCCAGCGTCCATCATCCCCCGTCATCCCCCCGTCACCATCGATCTACAGTTAAGATGCATCGAATCTCCCTTTGACGTTCCCGTAATTTTCCACCCCGTACCGTACCGTACCGTCAGTGCATCGGGGGCTGCTGCGCCAAGCCCCACCAGCCATTGAAACAGCGGCCCGCTTCCCTTACATCGGTACTAACGAGGTAACAAGTAACTTACCTTAGTAAGCCAATGAAACCCACAAAAACCTCCCTCCCAAAGGCCCCCCAACCCAACCTGCCTCCACCCGCGCTGCTGCTTATCCCGACGCCTCCACGCTGGCCCCAACCCCCGACAAGCACCATATCTACCCTCGTTCGACGCAGAATCGGCAGCCCTTTCTCGCTGCATGGTTCATGCCTCTGTTTTATACCGTTGTTGCTTTGAACGAGCGCGAGAAATGTGGGAGGGGGAATCCCCGCCAAAACCCCAAACCCCCGTCTCGCATTCCCCTATGCAGCACACACCCCCCCCCCCCCCCCCACCTCCGACGAATGGGGGACGAGAGGACTTAATCACCCCTCAGTCATGAGGTTTGCATTATTGCGCTTTTTGCTTGCTTCCTTCCCTATTAGCAGTTTTTCCTTTAGTAAGATAGATATATGGAGCCCAGTTTTATTATCCATTGTTAGTTATCAGGGTATTTCGCTCTGCTGTAGCTGAAGCTGGATATCGTGCTTTTTGAGGGGTAGGTAGGATCTACAAAATTGCAGTTGCCTGTTGCCTGAAAAGAAAGAGGAAAGCGAGATGGCACGCTGTTTTGTTTATATTATCATCCCTTCATAAGCGTAAATGAAAGAAAGAGTAAAGATAAATGAAGTAAATAAATGGAAATCTCTCCCTCTCTCTCTCTCTCTCTCTCAAAAATCACCCATTGCCAGCCAAACCCAATCCAATCCAATTCCCTCCCCCCCTCCCTACGCAGTAAAATAAACAACCATAAACCCCACCCAGCTCCCCACCACCCCCAGCGCCGCATACGAACTCGTAAACATCAGCGGCAAAAACTCATACCGCCCCCCGCCAAACACCACCCCATGCACAAACGAGCAGTACACGACCAGCGGGATCGCCACGCTGTCGTACAGGATCGAGAACCGATCCAGCAGGAACACGCGCGGCCGCACCGGCGCCGGCGCCAGCCGCTCGAACGCAGACAGCACCAGCACCAGCCAGAACACCGTGTAGACGATCTTGAGCGGGGACTCGGCGGCCGTGAAGAGCAGCGGGAACAGCGACACGTGGCCCGCCACCGCGAGCGGGCGGAAGGCGCTGAAGAAGCGCCGGTCCCGGAGCGCCAGCAGGCTGAAGGGGATGAGCACGAGCAGGATCGCCTTCTCGTGCACGTGCCAGCCGAAGAGGAACGCCGCGTAGCCGCAGAGCGTCACGGCGCCGAGAAAGGTGTCCCAGTCTGGCTGGAGCCAGAGCTTGGCGAGGCAGAGCTGTTGCGGGGCTGGCAGTTAGTACTCTAGGCAGTATAGTGGGGAGGGGATTAGCATTTGCCATGTTACTTACGAGTTGGAAGAGGAGGGTCAGGGTGAAGGTGTGTTCTTTGGTCACTTCGGGGAGCACGGCGAAGGAGGTGTCTCCCACAAGCCCCCTAGTGACGCTTCCCAACGCACTTGAATCAACTTTGAGGCCAAGATGTGGTGCGACTGGGTTATGGGATAGGAGTTTGTTTGTTAGATTCTTGGTTTTCTCCGGGATCCAGGCGCATGGGCAATATAAAACAAAAACAAAAAACACCAAATACCTAAAATAAGCACCCGATCCACGAACGAGTACATAGCCCATACATTCGGCGCCCAATACGCATGGCACAGCCCACGCGAGAACGGAAACAGTCGGGCCTTCAGCTGGCCCAGCTGACCCCAGTAGAAAAAGGGTCCAAACGCAGCGCCAAAAACGCCCAACACCCCGACGCCCAGCTTGAAAATGTTGCCGAATCTGGGACGGAAGATCGACGGCGACCTGGGGTGCAGGCAGTAGACCCGGAGGAGGTAGACGAAATACGCCAGTGAGAGATAGAGGTAGATATGCTTCAGGCAGAGGAGGATGGCAAATGTGATCCCGCTGTAGAGGAGGGTGGATTGCTTGCGGGCCTGGACGAGCGAGAGGATCAGAAGCCCGTAGAGGAATCCGTTGTATTGGAAATGGATGTGGTCGATGATGAGAAGGCCGGGGGATAGGAGGATGGAGAGCGCGGCTGCATGCGCGAGCCGTTTGCTCCCCACTTCCACCGATTGGATATATCTGCGCGTGCGTGTAATTTCGGGAAGAGTCAGAGTTAATCGCCTCACCGTTCCCCTATATTTCTTTTTTCAAAAGGAAGAAAGAAAGAATATATATATATATATATATATATGGAGAAACGCACCGATGAAGTGCATATACAAGAACAAACTCCAGCGCAATGACAGAGCATCTCTGGAAATAAACCGTCTGCCAGGAGTCATAGTTGAGATTGTCCACTTTCAGCATCGCCGGATCAACAAGGACGGCCACTTGCGAGAGCAGCCACTCCAGCACACCGAAAAACGGTGGGTAGTCGAGTGTCCATTCGGAAGTTTTCTGGGTTCCAGATGTCAGTCTCATATATCCCAATATAAAAGACAAGTAGCAGTAAAGGAGATGAACCACAAACCTCGTAGTACCACTTGTCCACAGGGAGAGAATGCGTGATCGCCAGCCAATTACGGTGGACTTCAAAATCAGTGGACTTACTACAAAAATCTACCCGTTAGCTCAGCTTCTTGTTTCTCAATTATCGTCTATTTGAGGCATTCAACTTCTCATTGTAGATCTTTTTGATCAGTACAAGGAAGCCTCAACATACTACGCTGGAAAAAGGGTGACCTTGAACGCGGTAGCAACAATAGCGCATTGCGCCAGCGAGGGGTAAAAGTTAGCCATAGGACATGATTGTGAATGGATGGCGCAAGGTCAAGAATGATTATTCACAAAATCAGGAACAGAACACTTCGGTACTTAACCTGTCCGCTTGAGCTACGTTCAACTCCCAGCCGAAGTCGAAGCTCTTCTAGTTTCAAGCTCGGATGTTTGCTGTGTTTGAATCGTTGCTTCTTGGCAAAACAACTAGGTCACATGATGCTGCCAGGGGAGCTCCACCTTGGCATGTTTGGCCTGTTTGGCCTGTTTGGCCTGTTTGGCTGCGCACAACAAAGCCCCTGAGCGTGGAAGGACAAGCTGGCCGGAATAGTTGAAAAGAAAACTGCCGGAGCTGTCGACGAGCACTATGATAGCAAGTACTACATACCGAATAATTAATGTATCCCTCTAAACGCGGTAATGAGGAATAAGATCACATGGTAGATCAGCTTCCAATTAGCAGTTTCTGTCGGACCTGACTCCATACACTGATTTTCTTCATTTTGCGCTGTTACCGTACAGCTGCCCAGCTACGTCTAACCATAGAATCGCAGAACCTGTATATATAACTCAGGTTTCTGTCGTCGTGAGGGGGAGGGATAATACAGGCTGTTGGGATTCCTGTGTTTCGCCGTTTTTTTTTTTTTTTTATTTTTTCCTTTTTGGCACTTTCTTGTCCTAATAACCTCATTGATTGTGTCTGCCATTGACGGAGATCCCTAATATCATATCCCATATCCTGCTCCGTATATCCACAATGGTTCGACCATGGGGTATCACAAAATTCCTGGCCCTCGCTTGCGCATTTGTATCAGTTTCCCAGGCAAATTCCATTGTGGAAAAAGCAAGTTTTGGGCACAATGGGAAGTATGTTCACACTGCCGCCTTCCAAGGCCGGTTTCCCTGTTTGGATATCAAACAAAGCCACTTTCTGACAGCGACGTGCGTCTAGGATATCGGCAGACAAGCATGTAATCCCCGGCTGGCAGCTGTCTGGGACGGGGCATACTCCTCACAAGGTATGATTCAGCTCCATTCTGGACAGGGTTTACTGAATATAGCGCATTGATACGGCTGTATCTAACCATGCTCCAGCTGTCGGATCGAGTGATTTTGACCCCCCCATATACCGGTAACAAACGGGGATCGCTGTGGTCCGAACAACCGTAAGTATATATCCTTTTCTTGTTTGACTCCGAAAAGCTTGGGAGGGAGATATTAACTTGGTGGGAAGGTTTGACGGATCCGAATGGATAGTCGATTTTGATTTCAGATCCAACGGCGCAGAGAGGGGAGGCGGAAATCTCCAGCTCTGGTACGTCAAGGATGGACTGTCCAAAATCTCAACGGCAAGCGTATACACTGCTGGCCGGTTTGATGGGTTCGTCCTTGTAATTGATGTACCGAACGGAAGAGTAAGTCTTGAGGGTCCCAGAGATCTGTACAGGATCCAGCGCTTCGCCGCTGATGCGAATCGCCTTGTTGACTGCGACTTTGTTTTCTAGGGCGGAAGCGTCCGGGGCTTTTTAAATGACGGCACCACAGATTATAACAGCGCAAATGTCGACGGCCTAGCATTTGGGCATTGTGACTACTCATATCGGAATCTCGGACGACTCTCACACATTCAAATCAAACAAACAAAATCAACATTTGAGGTTCTGACTGATGGGAAGCCCTGCTTTTCAACAGACAAGGCGGGTTCCCGAACTTCATTTTGTATCCTCCGTTTATATTCAACTAACAGTTATACAGGTATTTGTTCCGCCGGGTAACAATTTTGGAATCACAGCCGCGTCGGCAGAGAATCCGGATTCTTTCGAAGTCTTCAAGTTTGTCTTGAGCATTCCAGACACCACTGCTCCGGGCGGCCAGCCATACCAACATCGGCCTTATGAGAACCAGCAAATCCCAAATAACAACAACAACAACAACAACAACAACAACAACAACCAAAACCCAATCCAGCAACAAGTGACCGGCGCTGGCGGCAACGGCATTGATAACCGGCTCAATGACTTGCAAAACCGTCTGCAAGGGCTAGTAGGAACTGCGGACCGACTTCTGACTGAAATCCAGTCACTATCCAGAAAAGTCGACGAGCGTCACCAGGACACCTTGCAAAAACTAACTGCAAATCGTGATCAGGTGGGTCAAATGGAGCAACGGATGCAGCGCATTGAGAACATGCTCCAGGCCGTGCAGAAGGGCGTGACAGACTCCGACCTCAAGAATCAGTTGCACAGGCTGCAGGATGCCTTGAAGACATCACACACGGGAGTGATCGAGCAACTCCAATCGACTTCACATCGTACGTATATACCTGTCCTTTTGTCGCCTTTTGTCGCGTTAAGGAAATATTCTTTCGCATTTTATTCTCGGTCTGCGGGAACCACCCAAAAGAAAACGCCAAAGCTAACCATACAAAAACCATTCTTAGAGATACTCTCCTCCAAGCCGCGAATGGGATTCTTCATCTTCCTAATAGTTGTGTGCCAACTTGGACTTGCCGCTTCGTATATCGTGTACAAACGGCGTCGCGCAAATATGCCCAAAAAGTTCCTTTAAGGTGGATGGAATATCCGTTGCATACCTAACATTCTACCCCTACAGGAAAAGATGAGAAAGAGGGAGAAAGAAAAAGAAAAGATTTGTCCAAATGCTTAAATATCTGACTGAAATACCAACAAATACAGCAAAAATTAAGACATGACGACGTGAGAAATATAAAGAAAGAATGATATCCACTATCACCACAAGGATCAAAGACGATTATTTAAACCGAGATAAAATGGGAAAAGGGTAAGGAATGAAAAGATATAAGGAAACAAAGTCCGTGAAATGATACACTTATCCATATACCTCCTTCTCTCACCAGCTATTTCCCCATCTTTGGTTGGCAAATGATTTGCCCATTATTTATCTATTATACTCCTCTTTACATTTTCCCCTTGCTATCTATCATCTTGTACCAAGTTGACCTGCTTCACGTTTCGGTTCTGTTTTATTCCCATATACTAACCCTTCCTTGTTGGCGGTATTTTCCATCTTGCATCCAGTTTGTAAGTGAGCTCGAAAGATTTTGTCCAGCTTATTGCTTCCTTCCTCACTTTCGTCCTCCTCCCTTCTTTTGAAATTTCCCAGTCATGTTTTCCACTTGTTTTTCATTCCTGTTTTCCCTTTCTGGCTTTACTTTTCAACTTCCTATCTTTCCATAGATATATACGCCTGCTATGTTTTGCGCCCTGATCTCTATCCTCTATGAATGTGTTCCCTCATAATCATCATGATTACTCTCGATCTCCCTTCCACTCGATATCAAAATGTCCCTATTATCGTTGTACCGGGTCGCTTCATCTCCGCCGCGTCCATCGGACTAAAAATAAAATCAAAAATAAGCAACTAACCCCCTCGTTCATCTCCAAATACCGTCTCGGACCAGCCGGATACTTTCTGAGAAGAAGGGGTCAAGGGTTTGAGAAGCCCTGCAGCAAAATAAAGAGGAGGGAGGTACATAGCGAGGGGACAAAATAACTCCCAGGACACTTAACATCCTCATCGGACGCCTAAGCATGGCCTCTCTCCCTCCCTCCCGTCCCCCGCGAGTATATATATAAAACAGAAGTAAAAGTGAAAGGAAAAGTAAAAGTCCAGTCGTCGAGGGGTTTCAAAGCTAAAATAAACCTAAATACACACTTCACACATGTTTTGACTACTAAACTGGTCATATTCATGTTCTTCGGGCAACTTCCAGGGCAAATTTGTCCATACCTCCTCCACGTGTAAAAGTTCTTCACTGTGACGCAATTATCATTCGGGGGGTGTTTGTTTGTTGTTGTATTTAACTATGCGACGGGGATGAATAAAGACGTCTGAACTCTGAAAAATTTCAACCCATGCTTCCACTAGTTACCCTAAAGCTGGAATTAGTTAGAGACATCCAGCGTAAACCGACAAAAAATAAACCCTCGGCAGGAAAAGTTACTGTACATACTCATCCATTATCAAACTCTAAAGTGGAACAACAGGGCCTCGGGAAAAAAAATCCTTGTTGCAGAAACATCCATCCATCCAGACCACCAAGTTAAGTTACTTTTTTGCCCTTTTTTTTGTGTGAGGGAACTCCATTTCTGAATAACTTCGAACCTCCTAACTTATCTTCTTACATATCCTTCAAACTGGCTCAAAGTTTGAAAACCCACTGAAAAAAGCCCGGCCCGGATTCATGCCCCCACCTGTATTCAAACGCTTTATTTTATTATTGAACGAATAAGCAAGAAAAAAAAAAAAAAAAGGAGTGCAGATTGATTGTATCCGGATAGAAAGACGTGTTTTCTCTATTCTTCATCCTTCTTCCGTTGCACGGTTCGGCGCCTGGGTTCGTTCTGGCGTCCTGTTCGCTAATATACATTAAAAAGAAAAAGGTATTGAAAAAGAAGAAAAAAACCAACAGCAGCAAATAACAATGGTAGTAAGCCGCCCCCCCCCGGTTTATAAGAAAGCAAACAGTAGAAGAAACAGCAGCAGGGGCCAGATGAAATAGCAAAGCATTTCCGGAGTCACGCAAAACGTGTATACATGACGAAGACGAAGACGATGATGAAAACGATGATGTTCCCCAGAAACAAAGATACAATCTATCTCCACCTGGCGAGTCGCTGACTCGTGGATGGTTGAAAGAGCGTTGAGCGAGACCACGATAATAGGGGGTGGGGGGTGAATCTAAGAGGAGGCGGGAAACAGGAGGCATCAATGTATTAATCAAACCATCCCAACCACCCCCACCCAAAACATGTTTAGAGATGCTCCTCGCCGCTGGAAACAAGGGCACACAGGCTTTACAAGAACAGAATTCCAAACAACTCCTCAACCCCAAGAGGCCAGTCCGGTCCTCCCACAAACACCACACGGGATAGGTAAACACCGATTTTGTAAATAAAACAAGGGCATGAATTAAAAAAAAAACTCCCGTGTCGACAAAACGACTTTTCTTACTCCGGACCCAATGCATTGAAATGTAAAAAAAAAGAAGAAGAAATAAAAAGGAGATCGAAAACAACAAAAGTAAATAAAACAAATCGCTCTGCCCTGCTCAATCTAGTTTATACAATGGAATAAGCTCCACACGAGCAATAAAAAAATTGTGAAAATACAATAAAGTAAAAACATGAGATATATTCAGTCGTAAAGCGCGGCGGCGACAAAAGAAAGAAAAAGGAAAAAAAAAAAAAGGCGAGGGGCGGCCAGCGTATGATATCATCGGAATCTCTTCATGAATTCGGGCAGATCATTTAATGAGACCCGGGAAACACAGAATCTCAAATCTTCGAAAGCGGCGCCGCCTATCGTTCCCTCACGGGTGCCAGACAAATAACATTGATGTGTCGTAAGAGTGGCATTGGCGGGGCTCCGAGGTAGCAGCTGAGACAAATATTTGAAACTTTTTTTACCCTCCCCCTGTCAAAAAGGGTAAAAAAAAGGCTGTCAAAAATTTACAGCGAACCGCACCACCAATACCAACCATAGCCGCGTATACCGGACCCGTACGGAGAAGCGAGAAGGTTTTGTTTCGAACTGCGCCTAGCACGAGGGCATTGACTAAGATGCGAGTCGCGGGAACGAATTAAGGTAAAAAATGCAGCGAGGTACCAACACCGAGATTCTGGGAGGGATATGTTTCTGGATATATCCTTTCATATATCAAGACAAAAACACATGGCCCTTGGGTGGTCAATCAAGGGTGGCGCGCTACGCTCTTCAAGACCTGTAACCTCAACACATGGGGTATCGAGACCGTATCACTCGATGCTAAACTACCCAACTTTCCTCAGCTCTCGGGACAAAAGGATCCGAAGACCCCCGTCCGTACACCTCGTGGCGGGTGCACCGTGTAAAAAAAAGAGAGCGAGTACTAGCTGAGCAGTAGCAAACAACTCACCTCCACCATCTTTCCTCAGTTCTCAGGACAAATGATCCGAGGATCCCGTCCGTACACCTCGTGGTGGGCGCACCGTAGAATAGAGAACGAGTACTAACTAGTAAGAAGATGCTAACGCGCCAACATTCCCAACCTTCTAAAGCAAAGAGGGGGCCCGAGGACCCTCTCGAGCGAGAGAAGCGGTACTAGTTAGTGGTAGCGGAGTCCGAGGTCAACGCCTGGATGCGTTGATTGGCCAGGTCCTGGATGGCCCGGAGAAGACTGATTTCGTCAGTGTCCTTGCGAGCGCTCTCCGGAACGTTCGCAAGGAGCTGGTTGACCAGCTGTGCAGCCCGCTCAGGGTACGCGAGCGCAGCCGACTGAGTGACTGCCGCCATGCCCCCGAGGGCGATAACAGCGTCGCGCTCAGCCGGTGCCAAGAGGGACAAAGCGGCATCTGCATCCGCATCCGTATTGTTCCCCAAGTTCTGAGCCCCTGAAACCATGACAGCTTCCTGGGTAGAACCGTTGGAGGATACAGTGTCCTCCGCACCCTGAGCGTTCGAAACACGCCCCGGCGCCACCGGAGTGGCTGTAACCCGGACGGTTCGAGCCGCAGCGGCCTTAATAGCCGCTAGAGCCTGGGCTTCCGCATAACCGCTAGAAAACATATCAGCAAAGTCTTACACACACACACACACACAAAAAAAAAACGAATGAAAGAAATGAAAATGAAAATGAAGAGCCCAAAAAAAATATGGGAAGGTATTTATATATGGGAGTTAAGGGGTAGCATACCGTTTAACGCGACTGACGAAATCCATAATTACGCCGCGTTCCGGCACACGATACACGGCCCCAGCTATCTCTTGCTCGCTGAAGCGCTCCGCCTCGCTGTCGCTGGGCAAGATTTCGATGTCGATGAACTTCGGGTTGCGCGGGCGACGAATCTGTGCGAAACGTCCCCCCCCGAGGCCACCTAGGCTAGCCAGGTCGTGATCGATGTGGTTCGGGCATTTCCAATGAAGGGCCCGGTTCTCGCTCCCGGGCACCTGTGGGGGCGGATTGGACCGCGGCGGGTCGAGACAATCCAAATGCCACGAACAAGGACAGTAGTCGCACTGGATGATTGGCCGACGCCCGTTGGACGTCAGGCCGCACCTAATGCAGGTGATGAGCCTTCCCTTGGCATCAGTAAGCCTTAATAAGGCGTTACGGTCCTCGGGACGACCCGTGCGATTCCCTCGAGTGCGACTACCGCCTTTCGGAAGAATGGGGACTGCTTTGTACGCCCCATCTTCACCCGTTTTTGCTCCCGCGAAGAATTCGCGGATCTCGGGTGGTAGCTCGTAGTTCTTCGGTGGCATGTTCTCCACCGTTTCTATCAAGGGGCCCAACGTCCCCTTTACCCTACAAGTAGGGCAGAACCACTGTCCCTCAGGTGGTGATTTGGGATCCATGGGCGGCGCCAAGCATTCGAAATGGAACGAGTCAATGCATCCGTCACAACACAGAAGCTGGCCACTACCGTTACACAGACGACAAAAATCGATGTTATCGATTTCATCCGGCGGCCTTTGAAGGCGAAAAATGAAGGAGTATATTAGCATGAAGATAGAAACTGTTAAAAAAAAAAAAAACCACACCTAACATATGGTAAAAGGGGTTAAAAACATATGGAAACACTTACGCTGCCGATTTCCGTGTTCTCTTGGGAGGTTTTTGTGGAATGGCGGGAGCAACTTCAACTTCGTCTCCACTTTCACTCAACTCGAATATCTCTCTTGATCTTTTGCTGCTGGTTGAAGGTACTGGCTGCGGTGAGGGAGAAGCGGTCTCAATAGTGACAGGGGTTCTGGAAGGTCGGATGTGGCTTTCTGGGACAGGAAAATCGTTAAAGGTCTTTCTCAACGCCAAACGCTTAGCTGCAAGAACTTCGTCCGAGTACTCTAGATCGTCCATTCTCTTGCGTTTTCGAGTATCAGCGTCTTCTAAGGATGGGAAAACGGATTGAGACCTCGCAGGAACGGAACGCTTCTTTCCCTTGGCGTGTGGTCCCGTCGCTCGTCGTCCTTTGCGTTTGTGAGGAACCGAATTGGCTGCACGACCGGAAGTCATTGCAGGGGCGAAGGTTTCGGCATCAAGTGATTTTGCGGAGGAGAGTGATGACGAGGTACTAGCAGAAGACTGGGTACGTGTCATCGCAATAGCTTCATGGGTGGAATGTTTGCTTCGATCTTTTCTGACCGCATCTCGCATGACAGTCTGGAAGCGTGATTTCTCATGGGGGCCAGCCTCCTTGCTGAATGCACCCTCCAGAACAGCGAAAAGAAATTGATCCTTAGCAGTAGCATCCCTGATCTGTTTTAGGCCGTTGGCAACTTTTATATCCTTAAGCTCCTCCGCACGAGCGATGGCTGCGTCAACAACTTTTAGGATCGTTTCTTGTGGATATTTCAACGTAGGAGGTGTGGAGAGTAAAGTCGGTGTAAGTGGATGTAAAGTCGGTGTAAGTGGATGACCGTTAACGGGTGCGATCTCCGGTTCTATGCTGTTGTTCCCCATTGTAGAGCGCGTAGGACTTAGGCTTTTCTCTCCATTCGGAAGGGATGGAAACCCACTCTGCATGAATGGGCTTTCTGGTGGCCCAGGCTCATCCGCAGAAGTCGAGGCAGTTCCCGGTCTGTAGTCACCCGTGGGAGTTGATTTTGCAGATTTAGTGCCGTTGTTCTTGGCGGGAATCGGGGTGGAAGATTTCGCGGTAGGCATGAGACCGAGTCGTCGACGTACACTGATCGACGGAAGAACTCCTAAGGGGGTAGTGCTAGCGAGGTGATAAGTCTTCTCCCCCTTCTTGGAATCGAATTTGTAGCTTGGAGTTGGCGGGGGTAATTCAGGCTCAACCCACGGCTCATCCCACCGCGAGGACGGCAACTGAGCGCCAGATAGTGTCGTTGTTTGGCCTGTGAGCTGCTGATCTGAATATGGTGAGGTGGTCTTTGTCTCCTGACCTAGCGGGGACTCCTGAGACAAATCCGTAGCGCCACGTGCGTTGTGGGCAGATTTTCGTTGTTTCCTAGGCCTTGTCGCCTCTGAGACGGATGAAGAATGAAATAGTGAAGACGTATCTAGAGGAGTGGAGGGACGGGAGGCGTTGCGGGAAGGGGCGCGGGAAGAACGGGTTTTAGGAGCCATTTATTTGCTGTTCCAAAAACTGCACGACTCGCGACGAGGCTTCTTGGGCTGCGCAACGGGAGTTAGTTCAGGGACGCAGAAATAAACAAAGCGGGGGAACGTACAGAATAGAAATCCCTAAGCTAGCCACAGCAAAATGGCTTGGTGCTAGGGAATCGTGGAGTGGCCAGCGCCTGGCGGGTTGTTGGGCGGGAGAGGGAGGAAGTAGTAAGGAACAAGCTGGTGGAAAGGCCAAAGGTTGACGCGGGATTTGGACAGCCAAGCCACACACTCCCGGGGACTCAGGGAGCAGCCAACAACACCCACGGCGGGACAACACCAAAAAACACGTCAACCACAACCTGCTGGTTCCGGGCCTGAAAAGCCGTGTGGTGGTAGATCGTATCGCGAAACAGAGGCTGGATTATATTATTTTGTGGATTTTGGTGTTCTGGGGGCCTGCTTGGAGGTATAGTGTTTCGTCAGGGGCTCTCAACTCCGGGTGTGAAAAAGGGTGCATGCAGATTTGACAAGACTTGGGAGGTCAAAAAAAAAAAAGAATCCCTGTGGCAGTTGGAATTACCGATGCATCCAGTTGTACCCCGGTTTTCTTCTAGATGATCGATGGTTTTGAGGAAGAGACCAGAAAGGAGTGTATGGTGATGGCAAACCAGAGAAAGCGTGCAATGTGGCGCCTAACAGATAAGGGAGAGAGGTGGTTACTTCAAAGGTGGGATGACAGGGGGATCTCTCGTGCCAGGAGCTCACGGAGGATGAAAACCCAGGCTGCAAAGGAAATGGGATATTTTAACAGGCACCACGCTCGTAGGCAGAGAAGTTCTGATGGCAACCCTTGGACGGCGTAGAGTTTTGGTGCAAGATGTGTGTGGGAAAAAAAGAAAAAAAAAGGGGATGGCTAATGTAAGCGCGACAAAGGGCGTGGACTTGTTTTTTTTTGTTTTGGTGGAAAAGGAAACACGAGAGAGAAAAAGAAGAGAGAAAGCCAGAGAAGAGAGCTGCAGACACGAGATATCTTGATTGATTGAGGAGGACTTGAAGCTGCGGAGGACAAGCTGAAGGGGGAGCAAGGCGCGTAACTAACTGCTGCTCAGGGATGTCTGCAGAAACAGAGGAACAGGAGACAAGTTGACAGGGAAAGGAGATTGATGATTGGAGATATCTGGAGAAGAGAAGAGAATCGAACAAGGGACATAGATTGAGAAAGGGAGAGAAGATGCAGCGTTGAAGTTGGAAGTTGACGCAGAAGGACGGAGGGCAAAGGGAAAAAGGGAAAAAGGGAAAAAGGGAGACTTCCAAGAGCCTAAAGGGGTTGGACAACACGACGGCAACTCCCACGGCCCAACAACACAACACAGTCACTGGCAGAGCAACACGATCCAGGGACGGGAGCGGGATCACGGTCCGGGTCAATACAACTACAACACTCCAAGCACAAGGGAGAGAGGGGTTGCCCCCATTCACTTCATCCTCAGCAACAAAGACTGTGATGCGCCCGGGTGAAGGGAGGGGAGACTCGTCCATTGAATTTCTCCCATCAACGCCTTCTTTCACCAGTGATGCGGGGAAGCACTGTAACTATTTTCATTCGTATATATGTATAGATGCGTCAGTTGAGCGGGTGTGTTATATCTAGTCTCTTCCATCCTTCTTTTCACGTATTTCGATATTCTTTTGCTGTCCAATCCAGCTCGCCCCTCCACACAGGGCCAACCAAAGACGTCACATAACAACTTCAAGAGAAGCTGTGTAAGCCACAAAAAAAGAGAGAAAGAGATTAAAAAAAGAAAGAAAGAGATATATCCATCTAACGGAAAAGAAAGAAAAAACCACCCATACGAGGTAGAATAGTAAGCAAGTAAACTGCATTCTCCTATTGCCTGCCTGGTCCTATGGACTCAACCCGTCCATTTGGGCCACATATGTACGTAAGGGAAGAGAGAACAGCGATTGTTTTCCCCATGAACCTCCTTCTGCTGGACACACGCAATTCCCGCGAAACAAAATAACACCTTTCCCTTGTGCCTCAGACTGCCTCGTCAGCAAGGAGGAAAAAAAAAAGGAAGGAAGGAAGAAAGAAACCCCTCTCAAGCACAAGCACAAAGTAACTCGCTCCGAGAGGCAAGCTTGATTCCCAGCCGTATTCGCGGATTAGTAGCAAGGCAAAAGAAAGAAAAAGTACACTTGCGTTTACTCCTCCTCGCTAGATTCCTCCTCGTCCTCCTCTTCAGTCGCGGCGGCGGTAGCCTTCTTCGCAGACTTCTTCTTCTTCTTCTTATTCTTCTTCGTTCCCGTGGATCTTGCCAGTGGCCTCTCGAGAATCTTCAAAATCTCTTCGTCCGTAATTTTCTTGTCCGACTGGACCTTACTCAGGTCAAGAGGTGGAGGAGCTGCCAACCTCGATAATCCATTCTTGGTAATCACTGTAAAAAATGGAAACGGAGAGAAACGAAGTCGAATATATCAGCAAGCAAACTCCGGAATACCTCAATTCCCTCTCGCGGAGAGAAAACCGGGATTGCACATTCAAGGGGAAAAAACGCAAAATATGTTACACATACCAACAGTGGTTAATAATCTGGACACTGGCGAGCCATCAGCTTCTCCAGCAGGATCGTACTGTCGAACCACCCCACCGCGAACACACTCGACAACACCGACCTTCCCAGCCTTCTCATCCTCAAGCTGGCGAAGACTGAACGGGAATGTTCCAAACCGCCTCACGATTTCCGAGAGCGTCTGTCTCGAGCTCGGCCTCTTCAAGATATACGTAGTCGTGGTACGGCGGTGCAGAGTAGGTCTGCACTCCAAATTCTTCACCTTCCCAGACCCGAGACTAAGACCCACTTCGACACCCCATGCCTCTCCTACCTCTGCAGACCCCTCCCCCTTAATCCCCGCACCGGGAGCAAGGATAATCTTCTTCTTCCCCTCGATCTCATTATGCTCGAACAGCCAACTAGTCGTGTTCTCCACCAAAGTGCAACCGTACGACTTAGCAACTTTCTCCAAAAGCCCCGAAATGGCAGATTGCGTGGGCGGCTTCGCGGCCGCCGCTTGCTTTTTCTCCTCGTCAGAGCCGCTTGCAAGGAGGCCCGGGGGGATCATGAGTCTCAGGAGCAATTCGTTCGCGTAGTACGTCGCCAGGAGCAAATCGGCCTCGCGGCCCGTGACGCTTCCATCACTGCCCACAATAATGGTGTCGCACACGATGGTGCCAAACCCGTCGATTTGTGCACCGAGCTGGATCTTGACGACCTCATTGGCCTTGAGCGTCGTGGCAGCCTCCTCCGCATCCGACACCAATGGGGTATATGGAGTGACGAACGAGCTTGGGGAGACGGTGGTTGGGTGGGAAATGCCTGCAGAAGCAACAAAGAAAAAAATATGCGGACGGCGAATTTGTTATTTTATTTTATTTTTTTTTTTTGGACGAAGGGAGGCGACATGTATACAAAGACCGGATTGAAGCAGCGCGAATAATACTATGTCCACATACCCTTGGGGACTTTCTTGCCCTTGTAGACCTTGGCAACTTCCTCTTCCAGAAGCTTATCACCCTTCTCACATATCTCGATCACCTTCGCACCCTCGACACACCATCCTAATTTGCCGCAGAGTCAGCTTCTGGTGAGCTTTTTACGAGTGGTCCATTTGAGGGAATTGGGCAGACGAGTTCTTCGCGATAAATTTTTTTTTTCGTTTCCTTTCATTTCTTCCTGTCCAGCTTCCTTTGTTCCGAAGATCTTCGAGAAGCATGGGATGAAAGCGGAAACACAGGCAGGAGAATCAAGGGGAAGAGATACAGCACCTGTAACAGTCTCGAGGACTTTGTGTGAGATCTGCGCGGCAGTTTTGTACTTTGTCAAAGTATCCGGGTTATTGAGGGTGTAGTCTGTCCGCAAAAGGGGGATGTCAGTCATCTCAATATAATTTTCAGAAGCACACAAAAACTGAAAGCAGAAATATAGATTAAAACACCCAAGCAGGATAACACAGCAAGTCGGATGATAATATTTATATATAATAATAACAACAATAATAATATGAATACTCCGTGTTGACTTAACAGACCATAAGCTGTAATGCCAGCACTCAAGTAGCGCGGACAATTGATTGCCCTCCCTCCAGTTTTGTGTGTGTGTATAGAAAAAATAGGAAGATCGTGGTCGAACAACTAGATAGTAGAACTCACCAATCTCCGTAGACTCGGCCATTGCAAAACAAGTGTCCTTCGCAGCAAATGCGAGGAACGAACCGAAGTCGGGATATATATAAGGAGGCGATAATAGAGTGCAAAGTAGCAGCTCGCGTGCGTGTATACCAGAGAGAGGAGACAATTGTTGCTCTTCGTATGGGATTTGTAGTGGAAGGTGAGTGAGGGGCGGCGTGGTGGGGAAACCTGCTGAGTGGGATTTACAGGAGCTTCGAGGCCAAGCAGCCAATACCGGGTCAATACAATACATCGCTTAGTTCGTAAGTTACAGGGTTGATGTCAACTTACATCGTAGGTGTGTCAAAAAAAAAAGCACATAACTCCACCCACCGTGAAGATCAGAATTATCTTTGAGGTCCATGTGTATCTCCAGCGTATAGGCTCCGGAATTGAAAGGATTGTATTTCATCATTTCATCATTTGCTGCTGTGGATAAAAGATACAACCACTGAGACCCTTCAATCTAGATCACATGACATAACCTCTCTTGGCACCTGCGGAGAACGGAACAGCGACATCACGAGGTCTGGTCGTGAGAACCATTCCAAGGTTGATGATGATGATGCGGGCTGGCTGTTGTCCTCTGTCCATATCCCACGGCTGTCTGTTGATGCTGGCCATAGACGGATACTAAGGAGGAGTCGAATATTTACTACCTTCTCTCGTGGCTGTCAACAACATACGAGGAACTAGCTAACTAGTTGACTTTATATAAAGTACTCTAGATTGACATCTTTCGAACGCGAAACATGAAAGTTGACCGCCCATTGCCCATTCGCATCCTCACTCATAACATCCGCTATGCCACGTCGGCACCTTTCAGAGGGGAGAAACCCTGGAAAGACCGAAAGCAACGCCTACTAAATGAGCTCCATTATCATTCCTGTCATAATCCGGAGACATTCATCTGCTTGCAGGAGGTGCTTCACGTCCAATTGAATGACATCCTCTCAGGTCTCAATCCCAGCACCAGCACCAGCACCAGCACCAGCACCAGCACCAGCACAGGGGCGACTACTGAATGGGCATATATCGGTGTTGGACGGGACGACGGCAAGCAGGCAGGGGAATACTCCCCGATCTTCTACCGCCCCGCCGTCTGGGAGCTCGAAGAGTCCAAGACGGTCTGGCTCTCGGAAACCCCTTCAGTCCCATCCAGGGGCTGGGACGCCTCCTCCATCCGCATTGTCACAATTGGCGTTTTCAAGCATCTCGTGAGCCGGAAGCGGGTGCTGGGCATGAGCACGCATCTTGACGACCAAGGGTCCAAGTCCAGATATGAAGCGGCGAAGTTGATCCTCACTATGGCCAACCTGTATCTCACCAAAAACAGGCTGGCCAGCAGAAATATCAATGGTATTTTCCTGGCGGGGGATTTCAACAGCGAGGAGAATCAGGAAGCCTATCGCGTGCTCACTGCCGTCGATTCGCAGTTTGTGGATGCCCAGAAGCAGGTTGATACTGCACTAAGGTATGGAAGTGAAAATACCTATACCGGCTTTGGCTACGAGGACGAGGGTCCGAAGAGAATCGATTACGTTCTAATCGGCCCCAAACACGGTGTGAATCCGGCATGGTCTGTCGAAGGGTATGCTGTGGTGCCTAACAAATTTGATGATGGCGTGCTCAACTCAGATCACCGGGCAGTGGTTGCGGATGCTGAACTATTCTGAGTTATGTAGTTGCATTCACCTTCTTCTTCTTCTTCTTTTTTTTTTTTTTTGTCCTGTTTTGATTTTCGTATCTCCGCATTTTGATACTCGCTCATCCTTTATCTATACGTCTATATATCGAATCACATGATTGAGCCACTTCAATCCCATGGGATATAGGCAGATATCCACGGTAGAACCCATGATCTGTGCGAAAGTAGCCTTGAGGCCATACATTTCCGTAATGATCAATCCACAGTCAGTTTCCACCTTGCTGGCCCGGAGTATAAAATATCCGGCCCGACACTGCTGAGTCAGCCGCCCCTTCGTTGCCTCCTGTCCGTTCCTCGTTTTCAGCCCCAACCGCGGCGACAAAGATGCGCGAGACGCAGACGACCTGACCAGGGCAGAAGCAGCAACGGTGAGCAGAGCAGCGCGATTCCCAGCAGCAAAGAACCCCGGCGCAAAAACCATCCCGATTCCGGGCTCGAAACACACGAAGTTCAGGGGCTTTCGTTAAGGTTTCTCCCGCAATACAAGCTGCGCCTCTTGACTCGCCCATGGGGCTGCCCGACCATTGCACGGCGATACTTCATCCCATACATCGGCTCCCGGCCATCGCAGGTATGTTTCTCCCCCGCGCCAATCCCACTTTTTGTTATTTGCCATGCATTTATTCTTATCCCATTATTTATTGTCTCTGCTGCTGTACTTCTTTCTCGCTCCCTCAGCCCTGGGTCGGGAATTCGGTTCAATGGCGTCGCAACTCTTGTCTCCCTATTTTTCATTCCCCAATATATAACCCGGATTCCATCGCGTCAGATCCTCCGGGTTACCCTGTGGCATAGCTCTCGGTGCAAGGATTAATGCATTTCTAACCATTGTAACCTTAGGTCTCTCGTCTTCATGATACTTTCGCAGATGATGCATCAATAGTTTTTGCCCAATCCAGTTTGCGAATCCGTATAACTTCGGCGGTGTGCACAGACACCTGCTGCATCATAACCCCCCATCTATTTCCCTTTACACGACGGAACCCAATTTTCCTCGAAAATGCCTTCTCCAAATAACCAGGCGGTCGATGCCTCCAAACAAGAAACAGAACTCCATAATAACCCTCCTCAAGATGCGACTGACCCAATGGAACATGGTGATATATTGGCTTATGTGGAAGGTACACCCACAGTGAACACGACCTCGAACGGGCAAGTCGTTAATGGCTCCGCCTTAGCAGCTTCAGCGGGAGAAGAGACACGGGATGAACAACAGGCGACAGAGCTTTCCGTGACAATCAATACAGATGCGCCCGAAAGGTCACCTCCAAATTCTCCCAGCCGCCCGCAATCACCAAACTCTACAACCCCAAAGGCAAATGGCGACACACTCGGTCGAAAACGATCTCGATCGGGTTCGATAATACGTTCTACATCCCCTCCACCTCCATCCTCACTCCTTCCTGTCCGCCCCCGCGAAACTCCTGTAGATAAAATATTGCTCGAACAATATGTCAATCGAGAATTCCACCACTCTGCGCTTATGGCCTGGAAGAATCCCCATCAGGAGCTCCTCAAGCAGAAGCGCGCTGAAAGGGATTACTACCTGTCTTTACAGCATGAGCGTCGGATGAATCCCGGAGCAATATTCGGATACGGATATGAAGGCTACGGAAACGCACGGACGGATCTAAAGTCTCAACATCCTCAACTTCTTTATCCTTCCAATCGAAGGCGGCCGGGCGGACGGAAATCAAAGGACATTCGCATCTCACGAGATGACATGCTCACGCAGGCAGAACAACTCGAGGATTTGGTTCCCATCCGCCTGGACATTGATTGGGATAAGATTAAACTTCGGGATACCTTCACTTGGAATCTTCATGATCGAGTCACCTCGCCAGATGTGTTTGCAGAGAAGTTGGTTGAAGATTTGCGTCTCCCTCTGGAATCTTGCGGGCCACTGGTGCGTCAGATTTCCCAAAGCATCCAAGATCAGCTAGCGGATTTCTATCCTCAGGTGTTCATGGAGGAAGAAAATTTAGACCCTCATCTACCCTATCACGCCTATAAGAATGATGAGATGCGCATCCTAGTCAAACTTAACATCACCCTCGGCCAGCATACGCTGGTCGACCAATTCGAATGGGAAATCAACAATCTACATAATTCTCCCGAGGAGTTTGCAGTTCAAATGACGAAAGATCTCTCCCTTCCAGGAGAATTTACTACTGCTATTGCCCACTCTATCAGAGAGCAAGTTCAACTCTTCACCAAGAGCTTATACATTCTCTCACACCCCTTCGACGGGCGACCGATCGAAGATCCGGATCTCAAAGCATCCTTTCAACCATCCCCCCTCCCCTCACCATTCCGCCCCTTCCAATCCGCCAAGGACTTCACACCCTACCTTTATGAGCTCAACGAAGCCGAGCTTGAGCGTACAGAAGTCTCCATTTCTCGAGAACAACGACGGCAAAAACGCTCAGTCAATCGACGTGGTGGCCCTGCTCTGCCTGATCTCAAAGACCGCCAACGCACCATCCGCACGCTTGTTGTCTCTTCTGTTATACCTGGAGCAGCATCCTCAATAGAAGAAAGCCGCTTGTTCAAGCGCTCTCGTACCAATCGGAGTCGACGTGCAGCTACTGGCCAGCGGGATGGAGGGGATGAATCTGACGATTCTGAGAGCGACGAATCGTCTGCGGGCTCGCCCGCGATATCACACCTCGCCCAAGGAACCGCTAGGACCAGAGGCATGAGAGGCGCTGCGTCAGTTGCGCAGGCTGCTATGCGCGCCAATCTTGTTCGATCCGCAACCCCTGAAGTCACGAGCCTGGAACCGAGAGCCGCAGCCCGACATCGCGACTACAGGGACGAGAGCTCCGACGTGCCTGACAAACTCATTGTGAAATTGAAGATTAACAGGGACAAATTCCGCCAATTCTTAAAGGACATGAAGAGCAATAAGACGAATAAACCTATAGCCGCAAGGGGATCCACGCCATCCACTGGCACGAAGAGTGTAACCCAGACGACCGCGACCACGACCGCGACCGCAACCGCAACCACAACCACAGCCGCAACCACAGCCGCAACCGGTACCCGTAGCTCCATGGGTCCGCCGCAATCCCTGACTCCCCAACCCACACCACCAAAACGACCTACCGCATCCCAGCTGAATGGTGTAATCGATGCACCTCTACCCCCGCAACCAGGAGTACCAGGCGTACGTAGCTGTCTCCAGCACCCAACCTCCCATTAACCTAACAAGAAACCACTCCCCTCCACTAACCTCCCATATCCAGCCTTCACCCCCATCCTGGCTCGTCCGCGGCCTAAATAACCTCAAACGCTCCTACCCACGTGACTCCTTCGAAGGCACCATGCGCTATACCGCCGTAGACCCACACACTGGCCTCCCGCTTGCCAACGCTGCCACCACCCACGCGGGCCAGAAGCTGACATATAAATACTTCCCGCGCATCCGCTGCCACGATTGCCCCGGGAAGTTATACACGCCCGGTCCGGCGATGACGGTGGATAATTTCGAGGTACATTTGAAGAATCGGCAGCATAAGGAGAGGGTGGAGGAAAGACACGCGAAGGCGGCGGCGGCGGCGGGTCGTGCGCCCACTTCTTCCCGCGGTGCTGGTAAAGGAGGGTCTGCGAAGGAGGGTGCAGGGAATGGTGGTGACTCTGGAGAAAATGCCGCTGCCTCTCCTCCAGACGCTGCCAATGCTGCCTCGTAGTTTTCAATTTAATCAGTTAATTATTTTTTTACTTTGCGGGAAGAGGGAACTGTTTAATATAAATTTTTTAGGGGTGATATATGGACATAAAGAGGAAGAAAAAAAGCGCTGACGATCTCCAGTTCTCGCCTTGCACTCACGCGTGTGTGTGAGAAAGAGAAGAAGAGTTGATTTGGTTGAAATCCAGGAGTTCACTTGGGCAAATAATGGGATTGGGTGAAAATTTGCCATTTTCGTTTCCATGCTCATTTCCATTTCCATTTTTCATTTTTCATTTTTCATTTTTCGTTTTTCAACTTCCCCTCCGCCCCTTTAGATCGTTCTCTTCTTTCTCTTTATTTATTTATTTTACCCCTTCATGTCATTACCATTATCATTATCATTATTACCATTATCACCATTTTATCGTTAAACCATTGTCATTAAATACTTTTACCGTCTTGCATGTTGTATGGAGGAGTGTTTTTTCCTTTTTTTTTTTAAATACCTTCTCCAATTTATTTCTGCTGCTATTTCCCTAGCCGTCCAGTTATAAAAAAAAAAAAAAAAAAAGTAAATGAATATCGATTTGATACACATACATTCCTCCGAGCATCACCGTCCCGTTGTGTGCCTGTTTTATTTTAATTCGATGAGGGAGGAGATATTGTTATCTACTTACCTATGTATTTCTCTTTTCCTATATATATATATATATATATATGTATAGCTGGCATCTATTTTTGACCAAACACAGTAGGCGAGCAGAAAAGAGGCCTCGAAATATCGAGGGAATAAAATAGGGGGGAAAGGCAAATTCTGTATTGCATTATTTGCGTGAGCTACAAAACCACCTAGTAGAAGTTGGTGTATTGGTGAAGTTGGTGAAGTTGGTGAAGTAGTTGACAACAAAGACATTTTGAGAAAATAAGTCACAAGTTGGAGAGGGAATATACATTGCGTGAGAACAACGCCGGCCAGATCGAGTGGGTGATATCGAAAAAAAAAAAAAAATAGAAAGAAAAGAAGAGAAAGGGGAGTGAGAGAATCAACTAAACAGTGAATCACATCAGATGAGTGCATGGAACAAGAAACTGAGCATGTTTACGGACAATTTAACATTTGATATGCAGCTATTGACAGGTGGGGAAAAAAGAATCGAACATGTCACTCAAAAGCATAAGGGGGAGAGTTAAATTAAAAAGAAATGAAATATCTAAATGAAGCAGCAGCAGCAGCAGCAACGAAAAATTTACACGGATAGATAGATCAACGCAAAGAAACCATAACACATCAGAAATATGAACATCATCAACGCGCCCGCCGCATTGACCTTCTCGCCGGTTCCGCTTCAGTAGTAGCGGTAGCAGACTGTTTCTGCTCTGGTGATCCTGCTTCTCCCCGCGTATTCCTTGACCGGTTCTTACCCGGAGGTCTGCCCCTACCTCTGCCCTGGCCTTGAGTAATAGTAACAGGCGAAGAAGATTCGGCTTGCTGCCGTTGTTTTTTCATAGGCATTTGGCGCTTAGATTTCGGCTGTGGGGCCGGGGAGGATATCTGGACATCTTCCATTGATTCATCTTGGTTGCCCGAAAAGGAATTAGGGGTAGCGTTGTTCCGACCTTCCTCTTCGTCTTCAGTCACTTTGTCTTCTGGTTCCTCTTCTGCCTTGGGCGATTCCTTCCGACCACTACCCTCGCTCTCTGATTCGGCGCTACTGTCTTCCTCTTCCTCCGCCTCACTTTGTTCCTCTTCCGACTCCACCATTTTCATATCGTCCTCATCACTATCCCTTTCAGCGTAGGAAACATGGGTTTTGATTTCCCGACCACTTCTACGGCGGGCATTTGATTCCGTCTCACCTGGCCTTCCGCCACCATCCCAATCATCTTCGTCGCTCGTCTTCCTCCGCTTGGCAGGCTTTACACCCGTTTCTGAGATCGAAGATTTCCGAATTGGGAGAGCCTTCTGTTTCTTATCTCTGCGCTCCCTTTTTAATCCACTACTCTTGTCCATAGATGGTAGATCTGCCTTCCGTTTTCGTGCTTGACTCTGCACGTTAGACACTGACTGGGTTCTTGGCTTCATGAACAATCGGACAATGCGGTCGAGCTTATCGTCAACCTCCTCTGCTAAGTAATTTTTCTCTGCAATAGAAACTGCTTCTCTGTGGATTGGTATAGTTGTAAAGAGTGAACTTGGGAGCCGCATTTTGCCAGGATAAGTTTGGAGAATATTGGCTGCTCCACTGCCACCACCGCCACCGATTTTATGTTGTTGGGAGTATAATTCTGCGAAGCGACGGGTGGTCGCCTGCGCAAGGTCTGAGAGAGTATAAAGGCGAGTGGACATCGTTGCTGAGCCGGTGATGGCGTCTCGAACTTGCTTAACTCGTTGTATGATGTGGAAAATAAGGGAAAGGTTGTTTTCGTTGGCAACTGCAGAAAGGTAGAAAAGTATGTATCGAGCAAAATCCGCGAGGTCATCCACTTTAGTAGACTCGTCAGATGATTCAGGGGGGTAATCAGGATGGTATGCTAGAAGGGAAAGAAGGCGTGCAGCCAGTGATTCCATGACTGTCTGCTGGTCTGATCCCTTGTCATTGTTTTGCGACAGGCGGGTAAAGAAATGTGTTCGAGATCGTAGCCAGGTAAGTGTGCTGTCCTTGAGGTTTTTATTTGGTTCAAACGCCAGGAGGAAGGCAACAGCATACCATCTTGTACCCAAGTGCGTCGTTTGCGTAAGTTTCTTCTTTAGCTGTCCGATAAAACTCGACCTCACGGGCTCCAATTGATCCTGCGCAACAAGGGCGACAACATTGAAATCCGTCGGGGTCAGCATCTTTTCGCAGATTGAGTGAGCGCTACTAAGTTTGATGATAAGTTTTGCGGCAAGTAAACGAAGTCTTGGCTTTTGAGTTGCTGGAGAATTGTGTTTCTCAGAAAGTTCTCCGTCGTTGGCAACAAGGGTATTGAGGATTTTGTAAACAGGTTCAGCACAAGAACGGAAAGTCTGTTCATCTTCTATGCTTTGCTTGGCACGGACTCTGTTCACGAGGATCTTAAGGGCCCATTCCTTAGCAGACGTCTCATCATCTATCTCATCAGACCACGTGTACTCAGCGGACGGTTTTGATGACCGATTATTGAATAGTATGTCGTTCGTAGCGATAGAGATGATCGCATCACTTTTTTCATCTGCAATCTCTGGAGCAAGAAGATTGATTTGGGATATCGTTGCAAGTTTGGTGAGAAAGTGTGGTGAGTCGTATGTGCAGTTCTGGACTGACTTCTTTATTAGGTCTTTCGCATACATCTGCTTCTTATCCGATGTGGCCATGATAATAGAGACGGCATGTTTCGCCGCTTTGGGCGACGAGCTGTATTGGGCGTAGTTGGTAAGAGCAATTAAAAATTTGCGCTCCGTGGGAAGTTTAGTAGGTAGCTTCTTCGCGAACCCGGCGCAAGCTTTTAATACCTCCTCAACGCCCGCCTCATCTGATTGCTTGGCGCTTGGCGCATGAGATTCCAGGTCTTTGCACATATCTTGGACATGCGCTTCGAGAACTTCTGGGTTTTGGGATGAAGTTTCTCTGAGCATTTCATGTGCGGTATTCGCAAGCCCGAATTCGTCACTTCTTGACAAGTCCATAATCGCAGGGATATGACTTCGGTTGAAGATTAGGGAGCTGCTCCGGTAAACCAACGGAGTTAATGTCTCGAGCAAACTCGTAGAAGCAGAGGTGTTTGTTGGGATTCGCTTGGATAATTCCCTGATGGCCTTTGTTACGGTTCGGTAATCACTCACGACAGCCATAGCGAACCGAATAAGCTGGTAGTTGCGCCTGTCATGCATTTTTGCAAATTTCCAAAGGTCCGCCGAAGCTTTGGCTTGGTCTGGAAGCATTTTGGCCAGGTTATCAATGACTTTAGATAATTTCGACTTGGTAATTTCCTCATCATTGTCCATCACACCGCCCTGAAGTGATTGTTAGAACTTATATCATATTATGAATACCAGGGTACCCTAAGACTTACATTGTATTCCTCACAGGCGGTCAAGTAGAAAGTCATAAATGTCCTCATGCTCAATTGACGAGCTTGCAAGGCGAAGAATACCTTTTTTGCCCGTTCGTCTAGACCCTTAACCAGTGTAAGAATTCGTCGAACACGTATCATTTCAATATCAGCTTCAGTATAACCCTCAGCTTCCCGAGTTGAGCTTTTCAATTTTCGCAACTGACTCGAATCGCCTTTGACAGGTTTTGACTTTAGGGGAGGATAATTCAGTGGTAGAAGAATTTCGAATATTACATGGTCAAGGAGAAGTTGAATATCAAGATTATTCGTGTAATAAGCGTCGAGAATTCGAGAGGGAATGTCCTTTAGAACCATTGCAACTTGCTCATTATTCGCCTCGATTTCACCAGATGCGACCCCCCATATACGTGCTAGTATCTTCATGGCCTGCTCACGGACAGTGCGTTTTCGATCCTTAACACGCTCAGCCAAAATGGAAAGAACAGAACCTTGATCAGAAATTCCACCACTGATACCAAGTTTTTTGACAGTGTCTGAGAAACCAAATGTCCCGATGACTTCAACTGCAGCAATCCTGACCTTTTCATCCGCATCTCCAAGCATTTTTGCTAGACTTTGAACCAAATCTTGCTCTTCATTGGTGCTGAGCCCAGAGCCACCAGCGGACGTTAGTATGATTCGACCGATCCCCGTAGCCCAAGCAGCCCGTACAGATGCAGATTTATCCTGGCGTCGACTAAGAAAGCTTTGGTACGCGGTGGAATGGGCTTGTGAAAAGGGTTTAGGAGCGAGTGGTAGGAGTAGAGCATTCGGTTGCGTGATTTGAGATTCGCCTGTCAATGTTGCTGGAGGATAGGCAGCTGGATCCATGGGCGGCGGGGTTGGAGGGCCCGCGACGCCGATGCCAGCTGTGACATCGCCGATTGTTTGCGTGGCGAGAAGTCGTAATGATACAGATTCTGCGGACAATTCCGCTTCTAG